TTTATTTAAACTAATATTAACTTCTGGAAAATGTTTTACTAGAGCTAAAAGTTTAGCTATATCAATGGATTTATTACTCCACATCAGCTTAATTTTTTAGGAAAGCAACCTTTATTTATTCATTATGATCGCCATCAATCTAAGGCAAAATTAATAGAGGAGTGCAATGGATTCAATGCTTGTGAGCATTTGAAGAAAGAGCATAGCGGTTAGGTAATGGCCCACTACATTTCTAGTATGAAAAATATAGCGACAAGAGTCGCAACCATACATCTTCTGGAATTCACAATTTTATCAACCGCACATTTTATCAATTTTTATTAAAATTTAACAAAATGTATATAAAAATTTTGTCACACCGAGCCCTAAATTTTCGTAGATGGCAGTCCGTAAAGTTGTAGCCCAATTATGGCACGAAACTATGGGTTTGGACCTATTCCACCTGCCTAAATTGACCAGCCCAATTCGACCCTTTCACAGTTCACACCTGTGACATCATTCAGCTCGTAAAAAAGTAAATAAATAAGAAAACGAAATTTTGAGGTAAACCCAAAAGGGCTTTGCTATATGTGGACGACCGGCTAATAGGGGGCAGCCACGTCGACCCCTATTTGGGCATGGACCTGTCCAAGAAGATTATTCCAACTGAAAAAGTGGCTCTAGCGATATCTTAATATAGTCCAAATTTTCGATTTTTTTATTTAGGGGGTGTATTCAATTGGGATTTTTAAAAACTTTTGGAGACTTTTTTAAGTGGGTGACTTTTGTGGATTTTGTGAAATTTTAAGTAATTTCTATGGATTTGGTAAGAATTAGTAAAAGTTTTTTCCTGGATTTGTGGAGACTTTTACTAAAAACTTTTAAAGACTTTTGAGGAATTTTATTTTATTTTATTTTATTATTATTATTTTTTTAAGAAAATATGCTTTTCACAGTGTTAAATGTGAGATATCGAGGAATATTTATGAGAATTCACAACATTCACTTAAAAACGAATCTTTGAAATTAGAGGGAGAGATAGAGATCAACTAGTGAAAATTTACCATAACCTGATTTGAAGAAAACTCATAGCAAAGATTCAAAAAAATACCTAATTGGAAGAGATAGAGGAAAAACCTAGAGGGAAATAAGAAAAGCATACTCTTTTTAGAAATCCCTCTATGGATGAGAGATTTTGGGAGAAAAATCCTATTTATATTTTCTATTAAAAAGTCTCTGAAAATCCAAGAAATTTTAAATTTCCTGAAAGTCCCTCTAAATTGAATACCCCAAAACTTGTAGAGACTTCTAAAAAGTTTCAATTGAATACCCCGTAACTTCTGGAGACTTTTTAAAAATCTATAAAAGTCTCCATTGAATACACCCAAATTTTTAGAGAGTCTCTAAAAGTTTCAATTGAATACACCCAAACTTTTTAAATCTCTAAAAGTTTTTAAAAGTCTCGATTAAATACACCCCCTTACAATGTCAATTGAACTAAACAGGCCAATTTAATTCCCGGGCCCATTTAATTCTTAAAAATGACATGATTCAACGCTGAAATACCAAGCTTTATTTATCTACCACCCATTAAAATTGGATTAATTTCATCTATGGCCACTAAACTTTCCATTAAGTATCACCATGACCACCAAACTTTATTTTATTTTATTGTGACAATTGAATATCAACAAACTTTAACTTGTTTCACGATTTCAATCAAGCTTTTCACTTAGCGTCATCATGATCATCAAATGTTATAGAGTAAATAGCAATGCGGTTCCTAATCTTTGAACATTTTGACAATGTAGTCCCAAACTTTTGATTTCTAGAATTTGGAATTTAAAGTATTCAAATGTCTACTAGTGAGGTCCTTTTGCAACGATAAACTTTTGTTTGACTGTTAAAATGTTCAAAGGTTAGGGGTGTGACACTATTTATCTAAACTTTATAAATAACAAATTAAAGATTAGTGGCCATGATGAAATAAAATAAAGTTTAGTGACCACGATTACACTAAGTGAAAGGCACTGTATCGGTTGCTGAAAATTAACTACACAATTTGGGCAGCAGGTTGACCCTAATCGGATTGCAAGACACAATCTTGGAGTTAATTGTTCCGATGGTCACTGTATTTATATCCATATCTTCGATTGATTGCTGAAGTTTAAAAAGTCAAGATTTGGTCAATGAATTTAGGTTCATGTCTTTGATTACTGACTGAAATATAAAATGTTTATTTTTGACCACTAAGTTTGAAAAATATTATATATTACTCACTAACAATAGAAGATATGGACCTAAGTTCAGTGCGTAATGTATAATATTTTTCAAAATTCAGTGATTGAAACTCGACATTTTAAATTTCAGTGAACAATAAAAAATATGAATCTAAATTCAATGATCAAAATTTGATATTTAAGATTTAATTGAGCAATCGAAAATACGAATTTAAGTTTATTTGCTTGTGTTTTAATTAATGCCTCCTTTCCCCTGCTGATTGTTGAAAAGTAACCTTCTACAAACCCTATAGTACCCTTCTTCTCCAAGCATAGGATCTTCAATCACAATTCTCTTATAGCTCCGCTACTCAGCATCAAACAATCCTAAATTCAATACACCAAAAAGCCCTTAAAAATCTTGCAAAAATTTAGCAGCAGTACATGGCGTATGTGGATCATGCGTTCTCCATATCAGATGAGGATATAATGATGGAATCAGCCTACACAGTCAATAACAAGCCGCCCATCAAGGAGATTGCCCTCGCCGTTTCTCTCCTGGTTTTTGGCGCTCTCGGAATCGTTCTTGGTGCCATCATGGCCGTCAATAATGTCGGCGGTGACCGCACCCACGGTAAATTTTCTGTTGAAGTTTGAGTTTAACTGTGTTTTTATCGGTGTATTTGTTGTGGGATTTCAACTTTCTTTCTAGTTCACTAAGTTAATGTTCTTTAATGATTAATTTAAGGGGGTTTTGATTAATATTCAGTAAATTAATAATCTTTAGTAATTAATTAAGCATTAGATTTTTGGGGAACCCACTATTGTTGATTATTATAGATATGTTTTCCATACAGACATGAGCAAGGGTGAATTTGTTAGATTTTTAATCTTATAACGATATATGAAGTTTCTCTAAAGAAGATAAAATGACATAAAAAGGTAAGACGCGAATAAATTTGAGTTCAATGTCTATTGAAAGATCGCCCGATTAGTTTCCTTGACTCTTATAATTACTTCAGTAACAAGTAACAACTTGACATTTAGCTCATTTATTGAATATACATACAATGCTCATTTTTTAGATGCAGATCTTAATGTGAAGGTTTGTCAAGAAGGTATAATGTAGTTCAATTGAGTGATATGCTAAATTGTAAATGAATGTGGCATGTTAGGCCAATATTCCTATTAATTCAAGAGCTTCTTGAGTGGTAGAATTTAAGCATAGATATAGACTGAGGTGATGTAAAAGATTCTTTTCTTATTATTATTATTTTTATTTATTATTATTATTATTTTTTTTTGTATGAGAAAAATAAGATAAAGTACATCAACAACAAGTTAAGCCTTGTCCTCATAAATATGAGGTCGACTGTGTGAATTTTTCTTCTCCATTCCATTTGATTGATTCTATTTTTTTATTGGGAGAGTTGAAGAAAGTAACTCCCTAGAAACTATAATAGGACTTAACGACTTGTTAAGTCTCGACTAACCTTTCATCTAACCCACTGTCTTTCTTCACTCTTACTATATTGAGATTGTATCATTCTTGTCTTGTGAACGCTCATTAAGTCTATGCAAATTATATCCCAACTATCGCCTCCGTCTATTGCAAATATTCTCACTTCTCTTGTGCTTCTTTTTTCCCCCCCTTCAAGTTTGTCACTTAATAAGGCTTCACTCTTATCATTTGAGTTGGGCCTTGGTGTTATGTGCTATTTTCGTATGAGATCATATTCATCTTAAACTCTTATTTTTCTGCTATGTTAAGTTGTTAACCTTGTGGTTATTTTGGTTTTTATTACCCCGACATTCAATGTAATAAAATATAATAGGTCCAATAACTATTTTGTAGTACTATCTTTTTAAACTATCTCTTCTTATCATAGAATTCCTAAAGCACTTCTTCATCTCATACAACCTGCTCTAATCATATGCATCACGTCCTTTTTAATTCCTCCAGTAAGCGAGAAATAAATCTAATATTCTTTATATATCTGCTATAAGAAGTACTAGTTATATTAAAGGTATGTTAGTTTTAATAATGATTTTGTCTAGTAATGATGGATTTGTGTTTGATTGTATTAACAATTATCAAGGAGTTAGCTCTATACGATGCTGCTTCACTTGCCTTTTGTCGTCATGCAACCATGATTCAAGTATGCTGCATTTGTGACGATGTTCTTTTCCTCCTGGTTGTAAGGAGACTGAATCTTCTTTGCTTTACTTCTTTCTCATGAGCAGTTTTGCCGCAAGTTATAAATGCCAAAGAATGATATGCAACACTTTAATGTATGTGTAGCCTTGTAGTTACCCCGTTGTTCATTACTAGTTGCTCATTTCTTGTAGTAATACAATTCATTTCACTCATCTTAGCTGCTTTAGATCTTCAAGCAGATCTGGTAATGAAGAGAACAGAGTAATGAGAAAGGATTCACTGTAGCCGTTTGACCCCAAAAATATTGGGAACAATATTTAATTTGTTGTTGTGGTGTTGTGGTTGTATTGATATCAACAAGTTCTTGCTGGTAGGTTGAGTCCATACATCCCCTTCTTCATGACAATTGCTCGTCTAAAATGAGTTATGCATATTTTTGCTTGTCTTGATGTTAATAACCATTTGTTATCATCAGCATGCCACTTCTGTAATTATTTTATCTGTTTTAATCTGATGTTGTAAATGTAGGGCTATTTTTTGCTGCACTGGGAGGAATTCTATTCATTCCAGGATTTTATTATACACGGATTGCATACTACGCATACAAGGGTTACAAAGGTTTCTCTTTTGCCAACATACCTGCAGTGTAGAGTTGCTTGGTGACACAAGACTCACTGTACAGATGTTTCTAGTTGCAAGATGTTTGTAAATGAATAGTATCTCTATTAAGCTAAACAGTCGGGTGAAACTGAATCTCCATGGAGTTGTGTTTATTAGCGTGCGAGAGACAAATTAACTCTTAATGAACTGTTTGGCATAATTTTGGCGTTTTCCTTTAATGAGTGGCAAAGCTCTCCTCTTTNTAGCTCGTCTATATTTACACAAAGAGGCTGTGCACCATAAGAATTGTACTAAAATGGTGAGGTGCAACGCGCTTGGAACTTGCATGTTGCTGCACTTGGTTTAATACTCAATATAAAATCAGATTGGTTTGTTGAATTTCATTCTTTACGTTATGGATTTGCCAAAATAAAGCTAAAATAAGAACGAAAACTGTATTCTAAATCAATTACTCCATATTCCAGGCAAATTGCAAGATTTTGCCATACTTCTGATAGACCCCCACCTCTAATATTCCAATATAAGTTGTTATTAGTTCACTATTCTAGATAATTCCATAGTTAGTAAGCAAACGAGGTAGAATTGTAATAACAAACTAGTAAATTCTCTTTGGGGGGGAGTGGGGATCAGGCAGGCAGAATTTTGGTAGTCAATTGGGAGAGTTTTGGACCTCGCTAATGTCCATTTATCCTTTGTTATTTGTCCTTTTCACTGTTATGTATCTGCTCTTCTTGTAGCAGATTTATCTCCTTTTGTAATCTCAGTTCAATAGTGGAATATTATAATTACGTTGAGTTCTGTTCTTAATCCACTAATTACTCGAACGCCTGCTTGGTGAAGTGAAATTATCCCAGGGTCCTATCAAATTGGTATCAGAGCATTGATCACAGGGCCAATGGAAGCAAATTTCAGCAAACAATTGGAGGAGAGATGGAGCTCAATCTTCAATCAGTTGGAGAAGCTGATAATGCAAAGGGAAGGAGTCCAAGACAAAGATTCGGGGCTGGATGCTCAAGGAAGACTAGAAATACCAATATTCAATGGCGAAAACAAAGCAAAGTGGGTGTTGAAGGCAGAGAAGATTTTCTCCAGAAACCAGTTATCAGAAGTTGAGAAAATAGAAGCTGCCACAGCGTGTTTTGGTTGGGAAGCATGGGATTCGTTTCAGTAGGTCGATCGACAAAGGCCGATGAAAACGTGGGAAGAATTGAAGAGTTTGATGTTGGATCAATTTCGTTTGAAGAGGATTCCCATTTGTGAAGAATTTTCAGGGTGGAAGTGTGGGGAATTGGGGAAGAAATTGGATGAGCAGAGGCGGGAAACGATGGAAAATGGAAAGGTAAAAATTATCGAGGAGGACTCTATGATGGAAGAATACCCGGCGTGTAAGCATTCGGGCATGAAGAACTAGAAGACTACTGTGCAAGAATGCCTATGTCAACTGCAGGTGTCTCCATCACTGTCGTCGAAGGAGGAGAAGAGATTGGAGCATGCTGTAGAAGATGTCCCTATAAATAGACTGAATCAGGAGAAGAAATCCGTGGTGGAGCTAGAAAGGGAGAGAAAGGAAAAAAGAGATCACTGAGAACTCACCAGAGTCGGCAATTTTTGAAGTCACAGATGAATTCGAGAAACATCACAGGCGGAGCTCTGAGATTCCAACACCAGCCATATGGGATTCCATGAATTAGATGTGGGTGAGGCATTGGCATGCTGTGAAAGAAGGACATCGACGATCCTATTCATCTGTTTCATCATCGCGTGAAGTGGTAGGAAGTTTGGAGGGCTCTGTTAATGGGCTGCAGGTAGAAAATAGGAAAGAAGAAAAAGTGGGGAAGTTAGTGGGTTTGGGCTTGGATTTGGAATTGGCCCAAAGAGTTGAAGAGGAAAATGAGATAGTGAAACGGGTCCAAATAAATCTCAGCCCAAATAGAAATAAACCTAGCCCATTAAAAGGTAAACCCATATTAACACCAAACCAAGACAATACTACTCTTCCCCTCCAATCACGTTGCAACCCCTCTCCATCCCCAGTCAAATTTTCATCCTAGTCATTTTACAATTTGAAGGGCTTGAAGATCAAAAGATTCCGGCCATCCCAAGGGCGCAACTTCTTTGGAAAATGTTGGGCATCAAGGCAAGAACGAACTGATTACCGACGGAATGTTGAGATTCCGATGTCGCCTTTGTATAAAATTCCAGATCAGGTGTTGGAGAGTATTCTCGTCAATGGTGTACAACAAGGAAGTTACAGAGAAGAACCAATGCTTGAGCCCCAAGGATTGGGCCGAGTAATGGAGTTGACAATAAAAGGTGCAATGTTGCCATGGCTACGAGGGAAACAATTATACCATCGATGGCGGGAGAAGAATCCAATCAAGCATCACAATACAAATAAGGGACTGCAGGGTTTGGTGGTCAGTAACTATTCTGGTAGGAAATAGGAAGACAAAGTGGACATCACCACCAACCTTTTTATGGGATTAACTTCTGGTATTCACGTTAAACACATAGCCACAGACCACAGTGAGCAGACTGATGAATCTGCTGTCATTCTCAACGGGCCCCAAGGAAGAACTAACAGAACTGTTTGGGGACCTATGAACAAGACATTAGTAAGTGCTAGGGCTACCAAGAATAGAAAGAAAGGAAGGATCGATATATGCATTGTTAAATCTGATTACAGAGGAGTGAGGGAGCTTATGTCATATGGCAGCTTATGTTGATGCTGGGGATGCAATGCTATGTTTTCTCATTTGAACTAATGACTGAAGCAAGAAAAAGTGCATGATTTTTGCTTTGATATCTTGAAGATAGCATTTCCAGAAACTGACTTTTGGAGGCCAGAAATGCATTATCTTTCCCCAGCCAAGTGATTCCTAAGTTGAACTTCCACCTTGAGGACAAGGTGGATTTCGTGGCGACGGGTAATAATAGGCCCCTACCTCCAATATTCCAATATAAGTTGTTATTAGTTCACTATTCTAGATAATTCCATAGTTAGTTAGCAAAAGGGGTAGAATTGTAATAACAAACTAGTAAATTCTCTATAAATGTAATTGGTGGGGGGGGGGGGGATGCAAAATTTTGGTAGTCAATTGGGAGAGTTTTGGACCTCTAAAATGTCCATTTATCCTTTGTTATTTATCCTTTTCACTGTTATGTATCTGCTCTTCTTATAGCAAATTTATCTCCTTTTGTAATCTCAGTTCAGTAGTGGAAGATTATAATTACGTTGAGTTCTGTTTTCAATCCATTAATTACTCGAACGTGTGCTTGGTGAAGTGAAATTATCCCAGGGTCCTATCAACTTCAATATTAATATTACAGACAATGAGGCAATATTTATAGTTCAATACAAAGGTAACGGCAAAGGATATTCAAAGAAACCTATAACCAGGATGACGTTAAGATTACAGGACTCGCAGAATTTAATACAACATGTTTAACTGTTGCATTTTAGCAGCTAAAAATGAAGACCAGTACATTTCAAGAAGACGTTACTTTATGCATTAGTTGAAATTTGGATATTAGAATCGAGGTTTTGCAGGTGTCCATGCTCGAGAGAAACCCTGCAACTGGTAAAATGTCCAAAGCTAAAAAAAGATCAAGAAAAAAATGACCCTAAACAAAGAATGAGAATATCTTACCTCCTCGATAATGTTACACATTTTGTATTTTTACGGGTTCACCTTCAGGCTTTTGAGCCTGTTTGATTCTGCAGTTAAAACATGTCATAAATAGATGTGTTAGAACAGTTTAGGTGTGGACTACACACATACAGAATTATTTCCAAGCAGAAATCAGAATCTCAGATCATCTGCGTATATTCAACGATGCACACAGACGTAAAAACAGAATCTCGTTCCTCGTTCAACTTCTTCATCTCCAATTTTAGCTATTTAGAAACATTCACAACTTTCCTGACTTTTCAATTTTTAACAGAATATTCCGTATACCTACTTATGGATTTAGCCACTTTTAAATACCAACATAAGTAACTTGTAACCCATCTAAGGCACAAGGTCTAAACTTTCACATAGTTAACACCTAGATAAATGCTGTCTCAAACATAGACATTAATTGCTTGGGAATGGGCTGGGGGTGGGGATACATGATATACAAAAATACACCTATAAAATTAGATAACCACATGGGAAATAATTAGGTAAGGTAGAAGAAATAAGATCTCATTAAATTCTAAATTTTGATACTCCCTTGGTTCCATATTTAAGTAAATCAGGCAATATTAGTGTGAGAAAGGATGGGCTGGTTCTGCCGGGCGCCCAGGCGCCATGTTTCTGCCTGGAACCAGGCGCCCAGTTTCTGCCTCCACGGCAGAAACATGGCGCCTAGGCGCCCCAACTGTGAAGTCAGACAAGAACATGGCGCCTAGGCGCCACTCTTGGGCGCCTAGGCGCCCCGATAGGTACATATATTTCCTGTTTTTTCCCTCCTTCACAACACACAAGACCTAGACCCGAAAATAGAGAGAAACTTGAAAGAAGACTTGGACAGAATTTTACAAGATTGAATGTTGTTCATCTTGGGTATAAATTCAAAGTTATTTTCTTTCTTGGGGATTAACTTGAGGCTTGTTCAAGTAATCCAAACACATTGTTCTCCATTTATCTATTGAAATCATTTCTTCCTCATTTTCTTGTTCTTGAAGTGGTTTGAAAATTTTCACATTGTCAACTTTGTTTGATCTTTGGGCAATCTTTGGGAGGTCTTTTCCCAACAATTAGTAACAAAAACCTCACAAGAATAGGTTGTTCATAACAAAGAAAGAAGATATCAATAGACAATATCAATTTATGTTCTTCTCTTGGGCAAGAATTACTGATTGAAATTTCACTAAAATTGAACAACAAAAATACATTGTGAAGTAGCGATCCTTTTCACAAAATGGATTTGCCTTATTTCCAAAAACTTCATTTTCTTATTTGTAAAAACTTTCTCGTCTCTACCAGCCCTCTTTTATCAATGTAGAAAAATATCCAAGGGGTGGGGTGCGCCAAGTATGGTGCTCCAACCACACCAACAAATTACCTCCGTATTTTATTTTATTATTTTGCATGTTAACTCAGAATATGAGGAGCCAGGCAACAAAAATCAATACCTTTACTCAGAAGAATAACGAGTGATTTTTCAGAATATACTGTAGCTTATAAGCACAATTTTTAAATTAAGCCGCCACCAAATCAATAGTGGATTCCCTGTAAATGTGAATTTTTTGACCCAAGCAAATAGATTTCTAGACCAATCCGTCGACATAAATCTTCAGCATTTGCTAACCTCCATGAATGAATTTCAACAGAAGTAAGTTCATTTTGTAGGAAAAGTTACAAGGCACATGCAAAGGAACCACAAAGTGCATCTCAAAAATGGACCTTTCGTAAAGGAGTGCAAGATACACTTTAACCTACTTTTATGAGTGCTTTGGGAGTGTTGTCCCCTCTCTGTAGTAGGAACTTAATTCAGAAACCACCAAAGGTTGCTTTGCAAAATGGACTTTTAAAATTGAACTTCTCTTAAAAGAACTAGAAAATCCAAGTAAAGATATGGTCCTTGAAGAAGAAGATCGTAAAATCTAAATGTAATCTCAAACACAAGTCAAAGATGATTTTCTTAGTTGCAGATAAATGCTTCCTAATGAGATCTGACAAGATGTATAATTGTCGCTTCAGTGTCTCTACAAGTATAATGGTAAAGAGTAATGTTAAAGAATCATTTGTTGAGAGGGAAAAGCAAGAATAAAATGCTCATAAGCTACTAAATTATTGCATCATAAAGAAATTGCCTGCAAAACTAACCCCCCCTACAACTACAAAGACACACACTTCTCACGTGAAAAAATTGGAACCGGCACACAGAAATGAGCTGAATTGGCTCGAAATATCCAAATAAAATTATTATCAACAGGCACACGTTTTACCAAATAAACGCAAGAAGTTGGAAACATTGCACACGATTTTCCAGATAGATAATCATATCAAAGAAATAAAGCAAAAAATTCTCACCTTTCCATTGGTAGCATAGTAATCATCCAGTGCCCACTGATACTTCGACTGATTTAAGCCAAACCAATGCGCTATGTGCTCATCCAAACTCGCATGTGCTACAGATAATTAGGCAGAGAAAAAACTAAAATCTAATAATTATACCAAAAGGATATTTAAGCTTCTTAAATGGCTAGTATTTAAGCTTCTTTAATGGCTAGTCTATTTAGGCTCTACTAGAGGTTTTGACAAAACTTCAGTATAGAAAAATGAGGATTCTTGCCTTTGAGCAAGCCTTCCTCCCTCCTCTTCCCACTTTTTGCTAAAGAAATGTTGGAAATTTATCACTTTATGATTTTCAAATTCACATGAATATACACAATTTCACCAGAACAATAATTTCAGACAACCTTAATTACAAATCTTCAGCATTTCAAAAGAGTAACAATTTTTTTATGAAAATAAAAAAATAAAAAAGGACGAAATGCAATAGTATTACCATTTTGGATCTTGACAACGGCGTCCCAGAGGAAGCCAAAAGAAGAAGACCTCTCTTTATCAAACTGCGGCGGCGGAGCTTGAACCGGTGGTTTTCCAACCGGTATACGGTCCTGAACCTGAACCGGAACCGGAACCGGAACCTGGGCGATTTTAATTGGAGAATTCAGTTCTGGGCTGAAATTAGGTGTCACCGGAGGTGTCACGAACACAGTGTACGGCCCTATCTTGCCGATCCTCGGCGGTGGCGTCGTTTCATCCTTCATTGGCATTTTTCTTTATTTATACTCTAAAAATAATAAATTAACAACAAAAATCGAAAATCTACCCAAAGAAATGAAACTTCACTCTTTCTTTGTACTAAAAGGAAAATTGTCTTGTGGGTGGATTTGAAGAAGGTTCTGTGTGTATGAACTGGAAGTGGACAGCGTGTGTTCGTAAAGTAATTATCAGTCTCGTGGAGGTCTTCGGGAATTTAAGCTAAATGGAAGAAAGATAATCTCAACCTGGAAAGGTCAAATTATGCACAACAAAGTCAAGTTCAACTCGAGCGAATAACCTATTAGCAAAGCAAGAAAATCACAAGTGAGATGAGGAGAAAGTCGATTGAGATGTTAAGGAATATAACACAAAGATAAGTTGTCGCCAAGCTTTGGTTCAAGTTACGATATAGTTTCACTGTAAATTTTCTATTCGATATGATTATTCGAAGACATGCATCTCTATTAAGCCTACACTTGTCCCCCATTTTCGAAAAATGAAAATGGATGGAATAGTAATTTTTTTGAAAAATGAGTAGTTGAAAAAAATGAAAAAGTTTTCGATTCACGTGTAATATTATTTTATGAAGAATTGTGCGATTGAAAATATGAAAGAAAAAATGAAATATAATATAATGAAATTTAACGAGGGCCAAACGGGGACTAAGCCTATGAATCTACAATTACTTATTGGAAAAGAAATGTTGATTCATATTTTTTCATACCTTGTATATGTATTGAAACTTTAATAACACATCCATTTTTCAAGTATTTAATTTGACGTATTATCCGTATATGAAAAGTGTCTGCACATCTTATTTTCTTACAAATTTCTATCATGTCTTTAGGGTTCGGAATTGAAGATCTCTATAATATAATTAGACTGTACATATGAGTTAATAGATTCTTCTCAAAAAATAAAAAGAGAGACTTTTCTAGTCTTCAATTAATTTTCATTAACATAAATTCAGAATAGATATCTTAATTGTGATTGCTTGCGGCATTAACAACTGAGACGCAATTTCTCACTTCAACCGAAGCCTAGAAAGACAAATATGCAATGATCCAAAAATAGCACGTTAGGCCTGAGATTTTTTTCCCATTCCCACGAAGTTTGGCAAACAGAAGATGGCGCAAACACCATCACATGTCCTCTACTCCTCCATTTAGAATTTGTTGCACTCTCTGCACAATCTGCCACCCTTTTTTCTCTTTATTATTTGGTCCTCTCTGTTGCAAAAATTTCGTCCACTCATTTCACCTAACCCTAAAAAAAACTCCAAAAGTCCCGGTGAAACCAAAGTGATTAAAAAGATTTTTTGTTTCCCTCTTTTGAAGTGCGATTATTGGTAGCTGTTAGTTGTTGTTATTGGAATTATGGGGTGAAGAATTTTGTGTTGATTGGGTGTCTATCATCAATTAAAGTATGATGGAGTGGGATAGTAACTCGGAGTCTGATTTGATGGAAGGAGAAGAAGATGAAGAAGAAGGATTGGGGTTTTTGTTGAGGAAGAGCGGCGGAGAGGAAGGTGGGACGCATCCTTTTCCGGTGGACAAGCTTCTGCAGCCGGCGCCTTGTGGGTTTGTTGTAACGGATGCTTTGGAACCGGACCATCCCATTATTTACGTTAATTCTGTGTTTGAGATGGTTACTGGGTACCGTGCAGAAGAAGTTCTTGGTCGCAACTGGTTGGTGATTTTTTTTTTATTTTTTTTTTATTTGCTGGGATTTTTCGCCTTCCCTTCTCTGTTTATTATCGCTAATTATCACATTTCTGGATAGAGAATTGAAGGTTAGAACTTAAATGAAGGTGGATTTAATTCTGATTTAATTCTGACTTGTAAGTGTGAAATGCGGCTGGTTTTATCCTTTTTTTGTTTTCTCAGGTACCGTGTCTCTGGAAAATTAGTATGCTTTGAAATTTTACAAATAGATCATGGTTAATATTTGAATTTAATGAAATTGAATGGAAAATTCAATATTTGGTGAATTATAAGAAGTCTGACTTCTCTGCTTAGAAAGTTGGGAAGGCATGAGTGCTAGGAGATTTCCCTTGAACTTTATTATTAGGATAATGTAAGAACCATGGATGACAAAAAAACTTAGGCAGCAGTTGGTTTAAATTCTTTACTTATTAGTTATCTAAAGTTCAAGATTATCTGGACTGTTTGATAACTATTTTCCTTTCTTTTATATTTTATCTTCATCAAGGTAGATAATGTTTGTCTTCTTGTGACTATAAGAAATCCACTGCTGATATTATAATCTCTGAATGATTTGGATGCAAAGTTCAAGGCCATCAGTTCATTTTGTTTGACTGAAGAAAAACAAACCTTAGGCAGCGTGGAAAATGTTCATTAAAGCAACAGAGAAACATTCTAGTCCATATATCTTTAGTGATTGTGCAGTAGATTAAATTTGTAGACATAAGATGCATTCAATTGCTTAATTTGTAGATTCACTGAGAGTGCAAAGAATTTATAAGATAGCATAGTTGGTGCGTTATGAATGTGAATGGGGTTATATCATGATTGATATTTTGGAGTATCTGATTTGAGGAGTGATTTACTATTTCTAAGTACACGAGGCCTTGTGCATCATCATCTGGATATTGTTCTTTGAATTCTTTATATAGTAACATATAACTATTGTCTAATCCCTAGATGGTCTATTTGTGTTTTTTTCCTTTTTTGTTGATTGATAAATACTAGATTGGCTAAGACTTTGTTTAAATTGATGTTGTCAAAGTATGTGTTAGAGTAGACATTGCCTGTTCGTGATAATTTTTGAATGTGTTGGATCTGAGTGAATAATAATAGTATTTCCTGTGGGCTGTTCTTATATGATTGAGAAAGTGTTGCCCATCTGGTGCAAAGCTGCATTGAAAACCGGAATTGGTGAAAACTGAAAAAACTGGTAAACCTTCTGAACCGGCAACCTGATAATGCCTGCTCTCATCCTTTACTCCTGTCTGAGAGATATCATATCCTTGGTTCTGATAATTATATCAGATTGTAACTGACATCTCTCTGTGCCCCCCCGCCCCTCCACCCACCCAAACTAACACTCTAAGCACCCCTGGCATATGTTGTGGCAAAATTTATACTATTATACTCGATGAATAATGGCTTAGCAGATTTTGGTCGCCCATGTTCAAAGTCGAGCATTTACAATCTTGAAAGCATTGATTGACATACTGTTGTGCATTTTTTTATGGGTGCAAGATGTAATGCTGTACTGTATATCTAAGTTTGATGTCAACTATTTAAATTTGTAGATTAAACAAATGTTGCTTCTCCCTGGTCAGTTAGTTAATTAGATATGAACTGCTGACTGACCAGACTCCACATTGTGAATGTTTTATGCCATGGTGGGATTTTGAGGAACTGTGGGGATGTTTTTTCTTAATCAAGTAAATCATTTGCACAAGGTTGTAGTTTCTCTTACTTGTAAATTCTTGGTCTTTGTTGCAAGGGGATTAATGTATCGGATGAGTGGGTTAATTTATAAATCATTAATCTGCATTACTTATAAATCATTAATCATGTCATACCCCGGTTGTAGTTTCTCTTACTTATAAATCATTAATCCACATTACTCCAAAATATCAATAATGATTACCCCCATTCACATTTATAATGGAATATTTTTTGGTATTTGTTGAATTTTACGGGGATGATAGTGGAAATACTCTCTGAGTTTTTACTTCATATTTGGGGCTTGAAATTATTATAGAGCGTGTGATAATTCTTTTGATGAAACGTAGGCTCCGTTGATCCCCATCGCTTGCTAGAATAGTTTTTTCGATAGAATTTTGTTTTTTGTTTTTGGACAACGTGTGGTTAAGAAGTTTGGGAAAAAATTTTGATTTACGTGCAAAATTATTTTATTAGGAGAATGTGAGGTTGAAAATGAGTTTTTAGAAATTGGGGCTCAAACATGGGCTTAACAAAATTGAGCTAAAATTTCTTGAAGTGCTTGGAATCATATTGTTCCTAGGTTAAATTCTGCTGGAACTAATTTTGAAGATTTTCCTTTTAATGCTGGGTCATACCAAATGTTGAGATGAATTAATCTTATGAGATTCAACCTGATCCTTACTATCTGCCATGGAAAAAATTAGTAATCATTTATTGTTTATCCTCCTATACACTGAAGTTCAAGGGTTTTGTATTTGGCTTTGAATAGTTAGACCAGGATGAGCCTGATCTGCCATGGGTATCAATCATATTAATAGATGCAAAGTAATTGAGCACCTCGATTATGGATTTGAAGGGAACGTACGAGAGTGTAATTTAGATTGTTCTGGAGGTACTAACTCAAGTTAATTAGTATATCAAAATCTTTAACAATATATTTTCATCTAGGAAACATAAAGAGGTGGGTTCATTTGTCTTCGCCAGATAAAAATATACTTTATTAGTTTTTGTACTGCAAAAATTGGATTGATTTTAGAAAACTTACTCACCTCCAGTTTTTCGGCATGAGTACAGAATTTGTTGTTGCCTTCTTAAAGATAGAAGCAATTCCACCTACTCTTAAACTTTCGAGTTTAGGTTTATAAGAATCCTTCCGATTACTATTATGCTTCTAGGCATTTTCTTTCGCCTAATCTTTTCTTTTAGAAGTACTCGCTTTTCTTAATATTGATATTTTTACCGTTGAAATTCTGAAGAAACTTCTTTGATGGGTCATGTCTGTTTATGATACTCGGTCAGTTATTCATGATTGTAACTGGTTGAAATGTAGCGATGATTCGCAAGTCTGCTATGTTGAGAATGTGGATTTCCAGTTAATTACTCTCGAGTGTATATGGTATAAAAGCGGTAGGTACATGGTTTCTCTTACAAGTATAATAGTATATAAACAAAATTGTTTCATATCCTCTTGAATACTCTGACAGGTGGTTGTCTGTTAGAACATAATTTTTCTATTCAGGATTTGAGAATTCAAATGTAGACTAACCTGACACAGGACTGTTTGCATTTTTTTCTTCTTCTTTCATATAAATGCTTTTTATTGATCAAATGCGATATATCTGAGGTTATAATTTACTGGTGATGTTCAGAGATAAGTGATCTAGGATGAATAAGAAAGAAAGAAGAAGGAGAAGGGAGGAGAAGAGAAGAAGGGAACCGGGGGGGAAGAACGCAGAGAGGAAAAACGGGGAGGGGCTGTAGAAGCCAACTTTTATTCAATCAAATTCATCAATTCAATTACAATGTAAAATAGGTTTAAATACTGAAAACACTGCAAACCTAAAAGATAGGGCCAAGCCCATTACACAAGTCCATAAAAATAAAATAACCCAAGTCCAACTAAGAAATAAAAGTCCAACTAAAATAATTAAATGTCGTCCAACTAAAGTAATAAAACTGGGATGTCCTCATCAATTCTCCCAGGGTGGGAGAGAAACTCGACCCTGTCGAGTGACTATATCACTATAGGCTTCCGTCAATCTCCCAACCATAAGCTGAGTGGTTGGGCAAGCTTCTTCCGGCGTCTGTAGAAATGTGTCAGTGGCGGTCTAAACCTGGTGTCCTCACCAACTCCCCTCGGGTGGACGGGAGGCGATCTGAGCCAAGGAAGATCCTGCTGACTCCGATAAAACTCCAATAAATCTGGGTCCAGTTGCTGTAGTACCTCCCTGGAGATCCATGCACAGTCAGAATCTGGTCGACCAACCCAACGAACAAGAAAGCGCTGAACCTCTCCATCATTAGTGAACACAGTTTCTTAATCTAAAATAGCATCAATTTTTTCTTTGTGTACTCGGAGAGGTGGTAGTGGGTTAGAAGGGGCCAAAGAATCAGGATCAAGGTCCACAAAAGGAGGTGACAGAGGGTCATATGAGAGAATGAAATGGCCTTTATAAGTTACAAGGTCCTCAACATTGAAAGTAGAGTGGTAACCAAGGTGTGGTGGAATGTCAACAATATATGCATTTGGACCAACCTGCTTTAAAATTTTAAAAGGACCAGCACTACGAGCTTGCAATTTGGAGGCGGGTCCATGTAGACGCCGCTCTGGCCTAATGCGAACCATAACGTAATCCTCAATGTTAAACTCAATATGTCGTTTGTGTAAATCAGCTTGGAATTTATATTTTGCATTACTAGCTTCAAGTTGTTTATTGATCTCAATATGCAAGTCACGAAGATGTTCTGCAAATGCTTCGGCTGATACTGACACTCTAGCCTGTGGGGACATAGGGATGAGATCTAACGGTTTCCTAGGCTTGTACCCATGAACGGCTTCAAATGGACTCATACCTAGTGAACGATTTATAGAGCTATTGTACGCAATTTGAGCTACAGGAAGGATCAAATCCCAATTTCGAA